TAGGAATGGGGAAAAAATAAGAACCAAGATGCATTATGTAAAGGTACAATTCCCAGTGAGAAATGTAATTGTGTTGTATACCTTCAATGTACCAATAAAAGAATTTAATTTAAAAAAAAGTGTATACCAAGTTGTTAATAGCATGAGAGGAATGGTTAAGTTATAATGTTAAGCAAAACCAGGATACAATATTATGTATAAATGTATTTTACAATGTTCTTCAGGTTTTTTTTTTAACAGAAGTAAACTAAAAGGTTAATGATGGTTGCTTTTTGAGTGTTGTGACCATGGGTGACTAGCTTTCTTCCTCTTAGTATGCTTTTCTGAGGTATGAGTGAGCAGGAGGTGCTGATTCTGTCAGACCATGGGGTGGCCAAATTCCTGAGATCAATTACCATGGTCAGCAAGCAACCTTGACTACGAATCATCAAAAGGGCATGGCATCTGTTCAGAGTGGAGTCTGATGGTTCACCCATAACCTCTTCCTCTTTTGCAGGTGGAACACACAAAGAACAATACCAGCTACTTGCCTATGAACAGCCTATTCTGAAAAACTCTGTCTTTAAAGTACTTGGGATCCAAGGACCTAATACAGCATCAAATATACGAAATATACCAAGTATTGGAGGTATGACAGGTCACAGGAGAGGAATAGGGGTGAGAACGAGGGAAGACACAGGACCCTAGCAAATGCTACTCCAGGTAGTAGCCCTAAATCTGTGTCTTCATATGTATCAGAAATTTCTGTCCATCTGCTCTTGATGTACCCTCTAGTGGTATCCAAACTAGGAGCAACAGAGCTGATCTAACAACGTGCACACATTCGATAGTTAGCACTGCATCATTACTTTGAAATGCCTGTTACATTATAGATTGGAATCTCATGCACTTTTTCCTGATGAAAAATGAGATGCGATCAAAAAATACAGTGAATGTTCAAAATTTTAAAAAAATATTACAGTAAAAAACATGGTTACTAATCCCCCTCAAAACACTCCTTACATTAGAAGCCTACATAGAAATTCAATATTTTATAATCTCCTTTAGTATTTTGTATATTTTTCTAGGTAGAATTCTAGAATGTAAAGAAGATACAGTCATTTTTCTTCTTTTATACTATTTATTTTGTGGTATTGGGAATTGAACCCAGGGCCCTCACATTGAGCAACCTGCACAGCCCTTTTTTATTTTTTATTTTTATTTCATTTTTTTGGTACTGGGGATCGAACTTGGGACCTTGCACTTCCGAGGCAGCCGGCAGAACCACTGAGCTAAATCCCTGGCCCTATTTTTTACTTTGAGACAGGATCTTGCCAAATTGTTAAATTTCCCACGCTGTACTCTAACTTGCCATCTTCTTGCCTAAGCCTCCCAGAGTGCTCAGATTACAAGTGTGCTCAGCTAAGATACAATGGTTTTATTCTGCAGAACACATATGGGTAGCCCTAAATTTGCTCCTGTTTATCCCAGCAGGCTTCAAAAATATTATTTTCTAAATGGGCTGTGACAGGAGCACTGCTTTAAGTACCTCTTATTTTGCCAGAGTCTAGAACTGGGTTTACAATCTGTCTTCTCCCAGATTGTTAGAAATCCTAAATCACCACACTTTATAGATAGACATTCACTTACATAAATTTATCAAAGTAGAGTCCCGTCTTTCCTACAGTCCCTTACACCATGGGGTAGAAATGAAGGTTTCCACAGGCAATGCCTGTCACTTTGTCAGCTTCTTTGTTCCCACCCATAAACACTAGCACGGCCTCACAAGGCATTCACTCAGGAGACTAGCATCTTTAATCTCAGCCTTTTGGCTAGTAAAGCTTCAGTCTAAGCATAGCTCAAATTTGAAAGAAAAAAAAAAGTCCCTTGTGAAGCACTTCAAAAAACATTTTTCCAAAAGAAATGCTCATGGGAACAAGTTTTTTGAATTCTTTATAATAGGAATTTCACTCATTTCAGAATCTTGTGCTTCCCTAAGTACATACAACGATCAATCTGTTAGTTTTGTTCTGGAGGATGGAAGTTATGTGATCAATGTTGAAGACTTGGGAAAAGACCAAGAAAAAGGTAGAATATTTCCTTATGTCTATAATTATATAAATTATGACTGGTAAATTAAAAATTATATCTAGCAAACCATCAACAATGGATTAACTCAGTTGTAGCAAATAGATTTCATGCTCTGTGTTAATTCATTTCAATGCATTGGCAACAGATGTGTAGAAGTCACTGCCTGAAATTCAGTAGTTTGGTAAGGATTCCTCAGGGGGAAATACAGATATTGATAAATATATCTGTTGGGAAATATGGAAAGAGTTGACCACATGTGTTTTCTGTTGCTAAATTACCCACTAGATCTTTCCAGCCTTATTGACATCACCAAAGTACAATCTTTAGTAAAAGAATATGTCATTGCTATAAACAATATTTTACATATTTTAATAACTATTTTGAAGAATTTATCAGAGTATATTCACTTTTTGAGATCTTTCTCAGAACCACAAAAGTTTTTCTTTTGTTGACATACAATAGAAAAGGAGGACATTCTCTAGTATTATATACTAGATATGATAGAGTTGAATTATTTTTATAAAATTACGTGTCATCAAAGGGATTTTATGCATTCTCTTTCAGACAAAGTACTATTGCGTTACTACGAGTCTCAGTACCCTTCAAATGAATCAGGTAATTTGGAGGCTTGGCTAGCTACAGGGTTTTAATTCTTTTTTTTTTTTTTTTGGTACTGGGGATTGAACTTGGGACCTTGCACTTGTGAGGCGCGCGACAGAACCACTGAGCTAAATCCCTGGCCCCTACAGTGTTTAAATTCTTAACTTTGAAGTAAAGATAAAATATCCAAGGAAAAGGAAGACAGTTTCAAAATGTTCTATGCAACCTAAGGTCATGATAAAATTTTAGATCCAGAAAGAATTTATTCCATCTCATCAACTTTTTAGATTAAAAGGATAAAGGCTTGGTTACATATAATAAATATCTCTCTTAGCCAGGGCTGGAATGACAGTTCTGCTCAAAAATTACCTGGAAACAGAGCTTCTACTTTGTTGCTCTGCTAGTATCTACATACCAGTAGTTCAAGATTCCCTGACACCTGAACAATGTCTTTATTAGCAGAGAGAGACAAATGCACATAGTCTCTTTCCCTTGCAACTGAAAGTTGCATCCAACACTTCCATTCATCTCACACTGGTCAGAACTTAATCTTATTGCTACATTTAGCCACAAGAAAGCAGGCTAGGAAATATTCTATTATATAAGAAGAGGAGGTGAATATGGGGACAACTATCAGTGGCTTTACAGGCAGATAGGGGAGCTGATGCCCAGAGAAGTGCCCATCAGAGTTGTAACTGTCCAACCTGAAAACATATTTTTTTAAAACTAACCTCTCTTCTTTAAAGGATTTAGAAGTACCTCTACTTTCCTACTAATGACTCAAATATTTCTAAGTAAAGAAAGTAGTGATTTTGCTTAACATCACAGACTCTTTTCCTGGATGTTAAATTCACTGAAGTTGAGTTACCAAGTCTTAACTTTATAATTTATGATTTCTGTTTTCTTAATTTTTGACAGATAAAATTATATATATATATCATGTACAATAATGAAATTTTGAAGTACATATACATTGTGGGATGGTTAAATCAAGGCAATTAACAAATGCATTACCTCACATAATTATCTTGTGATTTTAAGGGGATGGTGTTGATGGTAAACTGTTAATGGTAAATCTGAGTCCTACAAAAGACACAGACTTCTCACTGCATGCCAACAAAAAGGAGCACTCTGTGGAGGTAACAGAAATGTGACTGTATAATTGTCATTGATTATATCTATTTGTCTATATTTGGGTATTGTGTTTGGAGTATTTCAAAGGAGTTCAGTTTTTGCTATTGTAAATAAAACAATCAGTTACAACTATTGACTTGCTTCTGGAGTAGAGAGGGAAGGAAGAGACCCAGCAGAGAGGTGGTGAGCCACTCCCAGCGCACAAGTGGAGGCTTTCAGGGCTGCCATACCACCCCTGCCAGCACAGAAGAGGTGAGCTGTGTGGGCACCAGCAGCACCCCCCACCCTGTCAAAATGAGAAGACATGTAAACAAGTCTCAAATCCAGACTTCTAGATTACCTAAAGCAACCCCAAAGGGAAATGAGATGGAACACTCTGATACTCAACCACCTGGACTCCCTGAACTGGCAACAAAAGAGTATCTGGAAAAAATGAAATCAGAAATAATTTCTCAGATAACAGCAGAGATTGTGCTCATAGTGCAAGACATGATTAATA